CCGCAATCATATCTGTTACAAAATTTGAAAACCACACATGTCAATTATGATGAATACTGCATAAATTAAGCTTTCTATTTGTGATAACATCTCATACCCATTCAATTGCTTATTCTTCTTATGCTCCACAAATTTGAAATTTTTCAAGGGATACTTTCCTAGAGATCCACATGACTCAACCCAAATGTGTTCTTATTATAAGAATCTAATATTTTAATCTGCATTAAAATAGAAGAAGTTATGCACCAAAAAAATTATGCATTATAATTTACATAATGTCCTTTCATACATACATACATACCAATCTCTTAGCATCCTTCACTCTCTGTTTAGCTGCTTCAGTTGTAAACATACTATCATATATTGTTACAACATGATCTACCATATCCACACCAACAGATACCAATGTGAATTATGGTAGTTTATTGTGATCATTATCTGCAACAAATTTCACACCCAATTTGACAAAATTCAACATTCTATATCCGAAAACATCATTTGCAATTGGTATGGTGTCTTACCTTCTCACAGTCGGTGAATTTCACATAGTTATCCAATATGACACCCCAGAAGGTAGAAATATTCTCAACACTTTCTTTGTTGTTGGCTTACAACGCCTGTTGCTGTAATTACGCAACAAACATTATTAATTTACCGTCTATAACACTACTTTTCAATATTTATTAATTTAACTCACCACTAAGAGGTATGGAAGGTAGCCAATCCTCCGGTGTGACTTTTGAGAATCGTAGCATATGGTCCAGGCGAGCAAATCGATAACCTAACAAAATTAATTACACAATCAGAACATATTCAATAAGTTTTATTTATTTCTACTTTCTACTTACCACACCGCCAACCCATTCCGTAGGCTTCAACGTTGCAACGTCGTATACAGTAGCGAATTGATTTCCCATTGATATTACAGAATACTGTATGAATCATTAGGATTAATATCTTGTCATGAAATATTTAAATATCACTCACAAAACAATATATTTCACTTACCCCGATTCTAACTCGCTATTCCATAAATAATCACAAATTACAGCTTCGATGTCATCAATTACGGTTGGAATATCCGCTTTTTCAACCTACAATTTTGCATACAAATTTTTGTCACAACAATATAATAAAAATCAAATTAAGTATTCTTTATTAAACTTACCTTCTGCTTCTTCTTCTGGGGTGCAGGACATTCCGAATCCAAAACTGCTGCTATAACACTCTCCGGTGTATAAATGACATCGACTTCCTTCCTCCTCATTTCTTCCATCTCTTCTTCTTCCTCCTCCCTCTTTTCTTCTTCATATTTTTTCAGTTCATCGTACTTTTTTTCTACATAGCTCTTCATATCTTTTATTTCACCCTTCAATTGAGCTCCTTCATCCGAGTATTTATCAACCACCCCTTCACCCCGTAAGTTCACTCCTCAAATCAACAACCTCCTTCACCACTCCCTCAAATTTTTCTCCCGTCACCATCTTAATATCACCCCTTAACACCCCAACTTCTTTCACCACTTCACCCCTCAACACCTCTACTTCTTTCACCACTCCATCTATTTTTCCTTCCACTACCCCCTTATGCCTCTCGAGTGTATCTTCGACTCTCTCGAGTTTCTCTACGACTTGATCAAGTTTCTCTTCGACTCTTGATTGTCTTTGCATGATTTCAAATTGGATTTTTTTGATATCAGCCAATTCAGACATCAAAATGTCGAAGTTACTCTGTTTTGCTTCACCGTCGTCCCACTCACCTTCATCCCCCAATACAACCATCCCTCATTTCTTCTCCTCTGCCTCCACTGCCTCCTCTACATCCTTGCCAATAACCTTCAAAAAAATTAAATTACAATATTAAGACATTGATTATATTCTTAATATTATTTAATTACATTTATTACCATTTCTTGCTTCTTCCCTCTATCCAACTTCAACTTCACCATCACTCTAACCACCTCTTCCTTCCTCCATGCACGGATGCGTGCCACTCCGGTTCTTTCATAAGCCGGCACTGCCTCACAGCCCGACCAAAAATCGAACAGTGCAACCTGCATTTATAATAAAATTTATATTTTTATATAAAAACACAAAAAAATGATTCAACTCATTTACCTCTAAGATTGCTATGCACCCTTTGAGGTATCTCTGGCTGCCCTTTTTAAAGGTGATTATTGATTCAATCAATCTCGAATGGATATATTCAGCCCAATTGAATTCACCCTTCAAGCCTTCATCGCAAATGAGCTTCATATATTCCTTGTTCGTTGACGTATCACCCGTTGGACAAAGAAATATCCCGACAAGGTACAATAGAACTCGGGCCTTCAGCTCATCCCCCAAGTAAGATCCACTTTTGATATCCTCTTCAACTTCAGTATATGTCACCTTATGATTCAAACCATATTTGGAGGCAAGTGCTTTCCAATTCTTACTCCTACAGACTTCTATAACACTTTTGCCTTTGTTTTGTACCCCCAATACGGCTGCAGCAGTCGATACCCCCAGAGGGAATGAATAATCACCATACTTAGCCATACATTGACTGACGTCAAATTGTGCCATCAAGGATCGACACAATTCCCTCCGAATAGGTTGATCCCTTACTCCGATCAACGATCCAAAACCTATTTCTCCCAGCACATTCAACTGACCCTTCTCCTTAAGGTGTTTAATTAATAAATTCACCCTTTTAATGCTGCATCTTGTCGACACTTCCTACATTTTTTAACAATATATAATGTTATAGTTCTTATATATTTGTATCAACGTATTTACAAGTTTAATGAATACCTTATTTCATGTGCTTTCCTCCGTTCTTTGTATTCTTTACTATCATTCCTTAACTGTGTGATGTAAGGTTCCTTTTCAGCATCACTCATGAATTCCATTTGGACCTCACATCTTTTTTCACCTAATATTAAACATAAACGTTTCTTAATCAATACATTAACACTAAATACTATACTACTCAATGTCAATTTCATTTTACATACCGAACTGCTCTGTGTGCCATCTCCCTTCATCCTTTTGCATTCGGCCATACTGTTAACATTTAAAATTTGTAATCAATTTAAAGTTTATCGATACTTTAATCCAATTACCATTTCAACAATAATAACAAAAAGACATTGATACTTACTAGAAGTACATATATCCACCCTTTGGTTGCTTTCGAGTCTCGGCCTCAATTTCAAAGTCATCTGCTCCACCAACAATTTTCCAACCCATTGACTCCATTTTTCCTTCATATCAGTTTACGCAAATCAAATTATTTTGTTACATACACTTTTCAATATACAAATATAGATAACTACTCTTGTGGTAAAACGGTTTTCTTCAAAAGAATTTGAATGGCCACACCAAAATGTGTCGGCACATTTATACAACCTATAATATCATTTTCTACCTATAATATTTAATAAAAGTATCGACATTTATATTTTCCTTGAATATCTATTTCTACCTGCAATCGGTCCCAAATGCTTCCTTACTCCAAAACCCCAAACAACACATAAAAAACCCTATCGCGATTACTGTAATAATAAAAAATTAGGGTTTCGACAACATACTTTTCGATTCGACTGCAGCAACAAACAAACAAACTTCGCTTTAGAAACGCCTTCTGAAATGCAGCAACAATTACTCTTCGATTTCAAAAACTCGTCCGTTCTATCTTTTTTCAGAGGATATTTAGCTATGGCCTTTATATTTTCATCGGATATGTTATTTATATTTAATCGATACAAATACAAAAGTGTCGATACTTTTATGTCAGGTGTCGATACTTTCGAAAGGATAATTACCTATTTCTTTGAAAGCGTCGATAATTTATTACACGTACTTACGAAAGTATCGACACTTTCAATATATCCGGTATCATTTTACCGGTTTTATCATTTTGTTACCGGTTTTATCATATTTTTACCTGTTATATCGTTGTGGATCGATATATTTTTTTAAAGTATCGACACATTATAGGCGCTATAACTGCTTCTCTTTTAAATTCACAAAGTGTCGATCCTTATATAACGTATCAGCACTTTTAAATTTACCGGTTTTATCATTTTGTTACCGGTTTTATCATATTTTTACATGGTATATCGTTTTGGATCGATATATTTTTTAAAAGTATCGACACTTTTTAGGATTTAAAACTGCTTTTAAAGTTATGTAATTTATGTTTCAATTTATTTAATAGTGTTCATGTTTTCCACCTACAATATTAATTTAATAATTTAATTTACACAAAATTTTATTTGATGTTTTGATATTTTATAAATATTATTTAGAATTTAAATTTAACAATATTAACCAAATATAATAATAAATATGTTTTCAACAGTGAAATAAGTATGGACACTTTTATAAAAATGATATATACTTTTTTGAAAGTTATGTAATTTATGTTTCAATTTTTTTAATAGTGTTTCATGTTTTCCACCTACAATATTAATTTAATAATTTCATTTACACAAAAAATTATTTGATTGTTTTGATATTTTATAAAATATTATTTAGATTTTAAATTTAACAATATTAACTAAAGATAATAATAAATATATTTTCACAGTGAAATAAGTATGGACACTTTTATAAAAAGGATAGATAATTTACAATATAACAGGTAAAAATATGACAAAACCAGATTCATTATGACAAACCGCTAAAATTTACTTGATATGTTAAACGTATGGACACTTTTATAAAAAGGATAGATACTTACCGATAACCAAAGTTTACCGGTTACCAAATTTTTTAATAGTTTTTCATATTTTCTACCTAAAACATTATTAGTTGTCAACATAATAGATACCGCTAAACCAAATTTATTAAATACATTTTAATGTATCCGGTAATGCTGTATATTAGCCTTATATTAATCTGCCTTTCCTGAGACAATCCCTTAAACAATAGGCCAGACAAAAAGGGTGTTAATGTGAAATGTCTCTATTGTTACCAAAAAAAAAAAAATGACGAAATGTTAAAAATAAGAGGAGAAAAAAAAATATCAGCGTTCTCTCTTTTGCTGTTTTTCTTTGTATCTATTTCGTTCTCTCACTAGAGCTGCCATAGTCTCTATTTGAACCGAAAGGAACATCTCTTTTGATTTTTTTACATTGCCAGGTTCGATCTTCACGCTGTCGTCTGAGTCATTTTGGGTTTTCTTTAATCCGTTGAGGGTTTTTTAGGGTTTATTTTGACCGGGATTTGGGGGGGGGGGTTCAATCTGATGGTTTTTGTTTTATTTTTATTTATTTATGGGGTTAATTTGGTCTTAATTAGATAGTTTTTATCAATTTGGGTAATTCATAAGATTCTGTTTGATGTACTTTTGAGATAAGATTATTGATTTTATTAGGATTTATCATCTGGGTTTAATTGATTTTGGTATTTAATTTGTCTAATTGTAGTAGTCGAATTTGGGTAGTTAGATTAGTTATATACATGTGGATTGAATTCAAACGTTTGTATCAGTTGGTTTTCTGGTAATTTTAATTGTAAGCAGACGTGGAAGTTTTGATATAATTGTAGTTTTACTTTTGTGTTTTAGGATGATTTAGGTAAAAAATTGGGTTTGGAGCACTGGCCTATATGGAAATGGTGTTTCCAGTAATGATAAAAAAATTAAAAAGGAAATGATGTTTCTAATTTTGTATGGTTCAAGATTTACTAACTTCGAGTGGGTTCTCATGTTTTGGAATGTGTAGCGAGTGGCATTTCAAGGAGTGTGGGAAGGGGTTTTAAAGGACCAAAATGGCTGGGGTTTCAAGTGAAGAGTCAGGCGTGGGAAGGTCTTCGGAGTGGGGTTCCAGATCAGGGGAAATGTTGGTAGAGTGGCGGTCTTCTGAACAGGTCGAAAATGGAACACCTTCGACCTCACCTCCTTACTGGGACTCTGATGATGATGGTGGTGGTGGTATGCTCTTGGATCCTTTTCATGTTATCTTGAATGCTCTTTATTCTTTTGAACATGTGTTTGTATGCTATATGTTTATTATCGGTCATTATAAAGTCTATTGAAACGTGTTAGATTGAAAACTTCTATATTTACATCCAGTAATTTAAAATCGTGGAATGTCATGGTTAAAAAATGGCTTGCATTCAATTTTGGATAGTCCTTTGCATACGTTTTGTCTGCATTCTAATGTTTATAAATTAATTAAATCATAGTTTCAATTGGTGTATTAGGTCGTTGAAGCATGCATGTAATTTTACCATTATGGTTTTGACTTGTTTATTGTCGTTTCCATGTGAGGTTATGTTTTTCAAGCTCTAACCTCTCGATCGATGGTTGGTTATAGAAGGTTAGGTATTGAAGCCTGGTTCTCATGACACGTCACCTCGTAAAAGATAAATTGAGAATATATTTTTCTGACCACTCGCTTGTTTCTTTTCCTCCTAATTTTTATCTCCGGTAGCCTTATATATTCAAATTGACAAGATGGAAGAAAAGGAGGGGTTTTGAATTTTTGCCCCCGTACGCATAAAATTGAAGGACTAATGATATCCATTCGAGCAATTGGCTCTTAGGGCTAATAAATTATTTACTTCAATTTCTTTGCTTTATATTTTTGTTTTCTCTTTTAAATGTCATCTGGAGTTCTAGGAAGTGTTATTGACAAGAAACTGTTTCTTCCTGATGCATAATACATAAAAAAGTATTGGGTTTTTTCAGGACTTTTTGTTTGTACTAAAAGTTCAGATTAAACTCTGCTATGGAATATTTAAAGACTATTTTTAACCTTGGTTTTCAAAGGCGCGAGGGCAGCCAGGCAATGAGGATAGCGCCCGCCTGGGCTGAGGCGAGGCGGTTTACAAGAGGCGCCCAGAGGCGCGCACCTCCTTTAGGCGCCGGGCGCAGCAGCGCCTTTGCGCCTTTTGGATTTTTTTTAAAGATGTTAATATTTTAATAAATTATTATATTTTAATATTAGAAAAACCCATCTTAAAAAAAAATCTCACTCACGATACAATCACCAAACATAATCCCTAATATTCTTTCTCCATCGCACGCCTCTCGTCTCCACCACCGTGATCTTCATCTCCATTGCACGCCTTTGCTTTATTTTTTGTTTAAGTGTTACAACTTGAAACATTAAGATGGTGATATTTGCTTTGCTTCATATTTCTTCTATTTGAACTATGTTTTTTATGTTAGTTTGTGTGTTGTTAGTTGATAGTGTAATGGTATTGAATATTTTGATCTTTAAAGAACTATATTATTATTTATCATGTTATTTTGAGTACAAAATGTAGTTTACACTTGATATATATTATATATTACAAACGGTGTGCCTCGCATACGAAAGGCGCGATCCTGCACCTAGGCTCCAGGGACTTTTTGCGCCTCTGTGCGCCTTGCGCCCTTAAAAACCAAATTTTTAACCAGCTCATTTTTGCATTGCCATTTTAAATATGAACTCTTTTGGAATATATTATTGTTTTCTTCCTTCCTTTTTATGATAAAAACTAATAAAGCTGTGTTCACTTCTTCTATAGGGCCGAAACCTCCTGATTTATATGGAAAGTATACATGGAGGATAGAGAATTTTTCACGGATTAATGAAAGGGAACTTCGCAGCAATGTGTTTGAAGTCGGTGGCTACAAGTGGTACAGGGTTTCAAATAACTTTGACTGTTATGTTTCTACTTTGTTTTCTCTAATTCATAATTGTCATTCTGGAATTCCTAGTCTTTGACATCATATTGGAATTTAATGTGGGTTGTATACACAAATATATATATCTTGTAAGCTTAATATTCTTCATAAAAACCATGTCTTTTTCAAATTGTCTAGTTTTATTTTGAGCCGTTTTTCATGGTTTACAGGTACATTTTAATTTATCCACAAGGCTGTGATGTTTGCAATCATCTCTCTCTGTTTCTCTGTGTTGCTAATCATGAGAAGCTGCTTCCAGGTTTGATGTTTTCCATAAACAACACATTGGAATAATCATCATTACTCTTCTCTTAAGTTGTACTCAATAGAGTTCCTTGCTTCTATTGCATGACAGGATGGAATCATTTCGCACAATTTACAATAGCTTTCGTGAATAAAGATCCAAAGAAATCAAAATATTCGGGTTGGTTGGCTCAAATTTAGTTTAATAGCACTAGTAGAAATTGTGAGCTATGAGTAACTTGTGTTTGGGTTGCAGATACTTTACATCGATTCTGGAAGAAGGAGCATGATTGGGGCTGGAAAAAGTTTATGGAGCTGTCAAAAGTTCATGATGGGTTCATAGAATCTGACACACTTATCATAAAAGCTCAAGTTCAAGTCATCAAGTAATCAGTAATTTACGACTATGTTGCTTCGACCCCATTGTTCTTGGCATACCTATGTCCGGAACTAGTATTTGACACATTCATACATTGATATGGGAATATGACTCTACAAGAGCCCTCCAAATGCATGGAAAACTTTTAAAAATTAAACATACCCACATCAGACATACCTATATCTGAATTCTGACACTCATACCCAAGTTTGAGTAGCATAGATTTATGATATGCAAACTTCCACCGATAGTGCTTCATACAATGCTTTCATGAGTCATGACTATTGCTTTCATACTGTTATTAGATAACCTTTATTGCCCTTTATACAAGTAGTAGCATCAAATATATAAACTTTAGCTTGTTAACACAAGCAATCCCAGTATTAGCAAATTTAATATTCAGGGTGGAACTGTACATTGATAATTGTTTGAATCTGCCTGTTTATGATAAAGTTGGCTTAGTATTGAGGTCATTATGGTCAAAAAAAGGTCACATGCATGGATTTGTTTCCTTATTTTGGAATTATGGCCTTGGAATATTGCTACCAACTTGATGTGTTGTGTTATTGTTTACACCTGATTTAGTTTCCCCCCCTTGATGATCAGATTTAATATTTGGTTTTGGATTTGTAGGGAGAAAGCTGACCGTCCTTTCCGTTGCCTTGATTGTCAGTATCGGAGAGAGCTTGTCAGAGTATATTTGACTAATGTGGAGCAAATCTGTCGCCGTTTTTTGGATGAGAGACAGCAAATGCTAGGGAAGTTGATAGAGGACAAAGTTAGGTGGTCAAGGTAAACGTTTTTACACTTTTTGTACTTTTAATGATATATTACTCAAGTATAAAACTGAGTACAAGTTTTGACTATTTTTAGAACATATGTTTGAATGCTTTACTTTTACAGGATTTTCTAATGAATTGGTAATTTCCTATTACTATTGCCTGATTTTCTGCTTAAATTTTCATCTTTGTTCTTTTTGCATCAAATTCCTTCTTGCCTTGACATTATGTATTAAAGTGGTCTCAGTTAGTTTTGACTTAATGATTTTCTTTTGTACGCTTCTTCATGTTTTTATGGCATATTTTCAGTGATTTTGTTTCTTGTTGGTTTATCACCTGATTTCTTTTTGTTGCCTTTTTTCTGCAACTAATTGCTGCAATTGTTGCAGCTTCTGTGCTTTTTGGTTGGCGATTGACCAGAATGCCCGGCATCGAATGTCCAGGGAGAAAACTGATGTCATTTTGAAAGTAGTTGTGAAGCACTTTTTTATAGAGAAAGAAGTAACATCTACGTTGGTAATGGATTCACTTTATAGCGGGCTGAAGGCTCTAGAAGCCCAGAGCAAGAGCAAGAAAGCAAAGTCAAAATTGTTGGATGCTGAAGAAATGCCAGCTCCAATTGTTCATGTGGAAAAAGATATGTTTTTGTTAGTGGATGATGTGCTATTACTCCTAGAAAGGGCTGCTTTGGAACCACTACCTCCAAAAGAGGAGAAAGGTCCTCAGAACCGAACAAAGGTAAGTTTCTGTAATGATTGTAGGTTATAATGAGTAAGAACATTACATGGGTTCCATTTTAAACTTATTATAGATTGGTGAAATATTTAGTGATTTTTTTATTTCTATTTCACATATGTGAATTCTCTCTTGGTGTCGATGCAAATTGATGCTTTTATTTCCGTAGAAGTTAATGCTGTTCACGTGTACTTCTCGTGGAAAGATGCTTCAAGCCCCTGATTGGCATATTTATTTTTGTTTTTCTTTTACAGTTACAATAAGCAAAGTATTTCTTTGTACATTAATTTTTTTTTCCAGTATGAAAATGGTATTTCAGGTTTCCCTTCATCCTGTCTTTTCATTTTATGTAGGATGGAAATTCTGGAGAGGATCTCAACACGGATTTAATTGAGTGTGATGAACGGCGTCTTACGGAATTAGGTCGCAGGACAGTGGAAATATTTGTTCTTGCTCATATTTTCAGGTACCATACTTTTTTTACTTTGCTTTCAGCTAATACTAGCATGTTTCCTTATAACTAGGATTGACACACGTGATGATTCATGCGTAAGGAATTGATGATTCACATATATTTGATGAGAGCTGCAGTACAACTTCAGTGGATCCATTTCTCTTCTATATTTTCCAAGACAACTTTTTCTGGAATTGCAAATTTTAAATGTTTTCTTCAATATAGAAGGTTTAATGTTCATGATTTGTTACGTAAAGAAAAAAATACGATTAAATACTTGAATTTGTGTTGTGTCAACTAAGTTAATCAGGTGGCTAATATTGCCTTATAAATGCTGACATGACCTGGCAACCAATGGTACATGTGTCAAAGTCAATGCTATATTAGCAATTTATATTTTAATTTGTAAAATAAAATACAAAAATTTAAATTAAAAATTTAATAGAAGAACAAATCTGGAAAAATGGAAGAGAAGGAAGAGAGAATAAAGGAATAAGAGAAAGAGGAAGGATTAGCTGGCAGTCTGGATACGGGCTAGTGAGATCAGTGGCGGGGCAGGAAAGAAAACCAAAAAATTTTATTATTTACTATTTTAAGGTTAGGGTATAAATTTTTAATTTACGTACGTGTAAAAGTTTCCACGAGTCATGTTTTATTGGTAAAAGATGACATTCCATTAAACTCTCTAGCACTATAGCTTTGGTACCTAGTTGTACTTTTTTCCTGAGGGCAGCAAATCATGAAAGGGGTATGATCAAGAGCCAATTTGTATATTAACCCATAATAGAAATTAACATGCAGTTTTCTTATGAAATCAATACTGTAACTTAGTCATCGGGACTTGGAATCTTGTATGTGTCGCACAAGGCATCTCATATCTGCATGATATGTCCGACCACCATGAAAACTCTATCCAGGATGGTGACTGCACTAGTACGGAAGTATTTTATCTTTCAACGGGAGAGGGCAATATATATCTTATAAAATTACTGGCTAACTCTCTAGGAATAGTGCATTGTTTTGTTTTCTGATGTTTTATGTGCACAAATCTAGATGGTGGTGCAATTGGTCATGATTTTATAATCCTTTTCTTTCGATGAGCTTAATTGAAAAACTGTATACTTAATTTTCTTGTAGTGAATCAAGCTTCTGTTCTGCAAAATCCAAGAAGTATTAGTGGACGATTCTGATGCTTATTATTTCTACCCGTATATGCTCTATTTTTTGGCTTATATACAGCAACAATATAGAAGTTGCCTATCAGGAGACTATTGCTTTGAAAAGGCAAGAAGAACTAATCCGTGAAGAAGCTGCATGGCTTGCTGACAGTGAGCAGAAGGCTAAACAAGGCGCATCTGAGAAGGAGAAAAAGTCCAAGAAAAAACAGGTATAATCCTTTTTGTTGTCATATTTATTTTATCTTTATGGGACATTTTGAAGCAGACAGCTGACATCAGAATAAACAAACTATCCTTTGGCCACCTGAGCCAAACAAAATGATAAAATCTGGTTGACCTATTCCAGATCTATTTTTATTCAATTTTTACTTTTTCTGGGTGATTATCAGAATGATCCTCTAATTTACTTTCGGAAGCAATTTCAAGCGTGTGTTTGTATGTGTTTGTATGTGTGTATGTGTGTGTGTTTCCCCTTCATTAGAGTGGAGACAAAATCGTGAAGCTTTTTTACGTTCTGAATGCATCACAATTTCTCCTATGGTTACATACTGCAGGCTAAGCAAAAGAGAAATAATCGAAAAAGCAAAGATAAGGGAAGGGAGGAGAAGGCTATTGTGGCAGCACAGGAAAAGCAACAAGAAGTACTTGATGATGAAAAGGGGGCCCCTATGATGGTGAAGCAGCCAGTGCCTGAAAAGCCTGATGTTCTAGGCGATGTTTCTGATGTTTCCGACTCGGTTGATGGTGCCACTGAGGTTCTTCAGCCTGACTCAGAAGACAAAGATTCTAGTCCTGTTAATTGTGATACAGATACATCAGAAATTCATCTACCCACAGAATCTGGTGGCAGTGGCATAAGTGGACTATCATGTGTGCAAAATGTAGTAACTGATAAGAGGAGCCCATCTATGACGGATGATAGTTCATCAACATGTCTAACAGACTCGGTACCATCAGTGGTAATGAATGGGCCCTATAAAGGGAACGCATCTTCAAAGAACCACAATAAAAAATCACCGAGCAGGTAAAGTGTTGCTTAGTTTTATTTCCATGCTTAAAAATGATTAGACAAGGTATTTATCTCATCTGGCTCTTTAAATTTGTAGAGGAAAGAATCAGCGAAGTAAATCATCAAGTGACGGCAATAATCAGATTACAGAATCTGGTAACCAGTCTTGTCCTGCATTAGATGCTGGGGACCAGAATGAAGTTTCCGAAAGTATTAAGGCCAGTGAATCCGAGTCTGAGGCTGCTGTTCCTTCATTGTCGGATCAGACAAAGTGGGTTAAGCAGGATATTGTTAAGAAGGTGATGCATTCATATACTCGTGTTCTTATTAGGCTGTCAGCTTTTTTGTTACCTTACGATTGTTCGTCTTTTCCAGCTTTATGCGGTACATAATTGACATTTTTCTTTTCAATGTGATAGGATGTTGTTTTGCTACAAAAGAAACCAAGCATCCCAGATGCGGTTGATTTAGAAAGATCAAAAGAGAAGATTGCTGCTAAGCCATCCTCTCCACGAAGCCCTCCCAGAAATCCGCCACCTTCTGCTCAGTTCAGGTCTGAATACAGGAGTACGAGCAGTTTAGGTTCGATTCCAGTTAGGAAGATATCGTCAAACATCTTGCAACAGAGTGATCAACCTGCATCTTCGACTACATTCCAAATGAATGGTACGTTAAAATCCGAGACTCAGAAGGCTGCAACATTAAGACTGACTGAAAGACCTATAACCCCACAAGAGTCTGTAATGCCAAGGCCTCCGAGTGCTCTAATCCCTGGTCCTAGGCCAGCTGCTCCTGTTGTTTCTATCGGTCAAACATCTCCTTTTCAAGCTCGTTCAGCTAGTGCAATTGTCTCTTTAGGTCCCGAGCCATCAGCGGCTACTAGTTATGTTCCTCAATCTTACAGAAATGCCATGATGGGTAATCACGTGGCTTCTAGTTCATCTGGTTTTACTCATCCGATCTCCCCAAGATCAGGAGTCAACACTTTGCCGGTATACTTGCAACCACCTGCCTTGGGATCTGCACCAGTGTATATACCCCAGAGCTCCGAAGGGATGGAGTCGAATTCTGTACAATCAGGCTTTCCTTTTGGCATGGTAGATCAGGATATCCTGTTGAATGCTTCCCAGTGGATGGACAATTCTCAAAGAAATGGCAGTAGAAATAGGGACTCTGATCCTTCTCCATTGCTTAGTGAGATCCAAAATATTGATTTGTTTAAGCCTATGTGTAATGGATCCCGGGAACACTTCACGAATGAGTTTCCAGCCCGTACATCTGGACGTCAGACCCAAGGTGTTTTGGCAGATGAGTTTCCACATCTTGATATCATCAACGAGTTACTTGACGATGAACACCATGTTGGGAGCACAGGGCGGGCAGGAACGGCCTTCCATGCTCTTGACAATGGGTCACACTTACTAACCCGCCATGTTTCTTTTCCATCCAGTTCGGGCATGTCGGGTGAGATGGGATCTTCATGTGGCTCATGCAGGTTTGAGGGAGCACAAAGTTACCATGCTGATGGGTTCCAACGAAGTTTCAGTGGTTCATCGTGCAAACATTTCGATACACTGAGGGAATATACTCCACAGTCGAACCACCAACCTTGTGCAACTGGACAACTCGATGGATCGGCCCAAACTCAATGGCCAATGACTTCTTCCAATCTATCTTTAATTCAGATGGGGAATGCAGAACCTGATGGTTACCCGTATTATTCGAAATCGTCATGTGGTGTCGACGGGTACACGTTGGTATTCCGACCTTCAAATGGACACTGAATTCGGTAATCAATTCAACAGCAAATTTGACGGTTACGAATCCGATGTAATAATGTGCGAGTTTGTGTAATCTTTTCATAAGAGAAAAACGTTGTGTAAAGATTGTTATTGCGCTCATTGCATCAAGCATTTCTAGTTTAATTATAATTTTCTTATAAAACGATCTTTATTTATGGAAGGGTTTTTTTGCTCTAAACTGAAATGTTGAGGTCAAAATATTCTCAACTAATGGTTTCTATTTATGGAGGGTTTCCCCCCCTGAAAAGTTGGAGGCAAAATGGTTTTAAAAAAAAGAATAGGGGTCAAAATGATTATTTTGATAAATGTTGAGGACTACTTTTTGTATTATTCCTTTGAAAAACTGAACTCTCTATTCTAAAAGCAAAGTAGCCTCAGTTTCTCTTAAAATAACATAATCAAACATCAATGGCTTAATCCCACATGGAAGCAAAATCCTTGATATCCAAGTTTAAGCACCCCTCCTTTCCTATCTCTTTCTTAATTAAGACCCTCATTCAATTGTTTTTTTTTTCTTTCAAAATTCAATTAATAACATAAACCATGAATTCAACAGTCAAAATCTCTCAACAAATAAGCAAGAGAACAATTTTTCTTTTTCATATATATATATATACATACATACATAAGCCTATCACTAATATAAATACCCCTCGTTCCCACATGAAATGTCTCATAGCTTAACATAATTTGCACACACAAAATAAAACAATGAAAGTTCTCAACATTGCTTTGGTGCCCCTAATCCTCCTCCTTGTTTTACAAGATCATGTAATTGGTGGTTCAAGAATTTTGCATGAAGAAATCAAGCTAGTGAATCATGAAATCCGTTCGCAGTCTCTTCAGAAGGGCACCATACCTCCGTCGGAGGGATCCTCGTGCACCAACATCCCCGGTCGTGGCGGACAGCCCTGTCGTCTGAACGAAATGCACTATACCGCTACCCTTCCTCGGTCCGCCGCTTATCCGAGTCCGGTGATTCAACTCGGTGTCGCCATTAATCAGAGATGATGATTCAATGCAGGCTCTCTTCACCATCAATATTCCAGGTTAACCATTCATTTCCTCCATGACGTGATGAACACGTAACATGCGGGATAACTTGAAGCTAGGGTTTTTCACTCGCCAGTCGAGTTTCTGGACGAATATTTCAGAAATTATAGCTTTTTTTTTTCCTTCAAAATTCTTTTGTTGTATTATTTAATTTGTATAGTACTGTATGCATATTATAACACAATGAATCCGATTTGTTTTGTACATCTTCAATGACTTTTAAAGCAATAAAAAGGGTTTTCTCTAGACAATAATGCTCTTGTGTTCTTGTTACGTGACTGAATTTTCTGTTTGTTTACCAAGAAAGTGGAACAAATCAAATAAAAATAGAAGATAATAATAATGATCTATTTGCTAATGGCTGAGGTTGTGGAGTGTGGGTCACGTAATTTCATGTATGCTTCCCTCTGATAGTGGAATCTGACTAGGAGCATAGCTAATGTACTTTAGATTAAGGTTAAAATTGTGTGCTGAGATTTAAGAATTATAAATCTTTTGACTTTGAACTGAACTTGAATGCCAGATTTCGTGGGCTGCTTCTCTTGACTTCATAGCTAGTCAAAATAACATATATATATATATATATATATATATAGAGAGAGAGAGAGAGAGATGATCCAGTTATACCGTCTAAAATTCTTTTAGTTTTACACTTTTTAAGACTATTGGATGAGATAAATTAAAGGCTGAGATTAACAGTAGATAGTAAGAAGTTATCACTAAGAAAAAAAATAATGAATTAATCTCAGCCTTTGATTCTCCTCAATCCAACGGTCCTAACAAGGTGTAAAACTAAAAATAAATGGATCCTAACCTCTATATATATATATAGAAAGTAGGAAATTAGAAGATATTTACGGAGAAAAAAACAAAGAGTTAATCTTAGTCTTCGACTTTCCGTCATCCAACGATCTTAAAAGGTATAATACGTAATACAATTGAATTTGATTCATATATATATTTTTTTAAATATTAGTACTGAATTCACTGCGAGTGCGTAATTGTTTAGACTATTAAAATCAAATAATAACATATCATCAACAACAAATTCAAAACGAATTTAATTTTTATAATAATATGTTGAAAATCTAATCTGATAGTAATATACAAAATTGTTTATGGTTAGTGTATCAAATACTAATTTTTCTTAATAAAAATATATGCAAGTTTCCAAGAAGTTTCATTTGCATGTGCATAAGGTCCTCAGTTGTTTGGTAAAACAATGGAAAAATAGAAAATCAATAGGTCATAATTTTTGACTGGTCTTATTCAAACATAGACGAAGCTGAAGTTGGATTAATGCTTGTTTTTCTCGTGGTTTTTAAGCACGTCTCTTTGACCTAAATAACTTGAAAATTCATAGACATCTTTGTTAATGTACTTCATGTTAGGGATGGCAACGGGCCGGGTTAGGGATGGCAACGGGCCGGGTATTGGTCCTCCGTCCCCGTTTAAAAAACCTATACCTGTTTCCGCTTAAAAAAACGCGGGGATTTAAACGGGATCCCCATCGGGTAATCGGGGAAAACCGCGGGGAAACAGGTATTCCCGTTTAGCATAAATGGTTATTTAAACGGGTATCGGGCTGAGTATATATATATTTAAATTATATATATATATATATATATATTTTAAATTTAAATTAAATTTATTAATATTATATATATATAATAATTATTTTTAATATTTATCGGGCCGGATATCGGGCCGGATAATCGGGTAATCGGGGTGGGATTATCAAACCCGTCCCCGTATCCGTTTAGCATAAACGGTTTTTCTCCGTCCCCGTTTAATTTGGTTTTCGGTTTTTCCCGTCGGGTTCGGATTTTTTTTGCCATCCCTACTTCATGTTAAGCTTTTAATAAACGAGCGTAAATAAGATTTTTATATTCGCGAATTGGTTCGTTTGTTGCTTGTTTATAAGCTCATTTATTGATTCGATTATAATCTCGTTTACTTCTCGCTTTCGTTTTATCTTTTTATACTTCAAATATTGGCGAGATCAGGACTAAAGAGAATATAAGATGAGCTTTGAGATTCAAATTGTGAAGCCTAAAGAACTTAAGGGCTAATACTGTAATTACACCATTTTAAATATACTTTGATTTTTTTTAAATATATTTATGTTTAATATATGTTTTTCTATATAATTAGAGAAGGAATATAATTTGAACTTAACTATTAAGATAATAAAATTACCAATGTTCGGTATTTATTTTTATATATGAATTTTCCGAATAAATTAATTTTTTTTAAAAAGAAAATGGGCGTATTTTGTTTAATTTGTACTTATATTAACGTTTGACATATGTAATGTATACAAATGATCATTAAATTATATTAACATGACTTATAATGTATTCATTAAAATTTATCAAACTATTAATATACTCCAATTTATAATAAGGGTAAATTACACGTTTGGTAACTGAATTTTGGTCTTTTTCCTATTTCACACTGTACTTTTAATTTTTCAATTTACTCATTGAACTGTATAGATTGGATTTTTTTTGTCACTCCACCGTTAAATAATTAAACGTCGTTAAGACATGACAACTTACATCAAAATGAGTTCGTTTTGAACTCCTAAAAAAATAGATTTTAGACTGAAATGACGTCATTGTGATTAAAATACAGCCATGTCATAATGCCGTTAATTATTTAATGGCGGAGTGACAAAAAAATTGAAAGTATGATGAGTGAAATAAGAGAGAATAAAATTTAGTAACCAAACGTGTAACTTATGCTTAATAATAATTCGAAAAGTTTAATGATGTGCTTATCCATTCATATATGAGTTTGGGAAATATAATCCTTCGACTATATGGAAAGATTTAAAAAAAAAATTAAATGCATCTATATCTTATACATACTTACATACAATAATCATCGTAAATTCATAACATAAACTAACAAGATGAACTACAAATGAATGGTAAAAGAAATGAAAATAAATCAAGAGATTATGATATAATCATTGTTCTAGTTGCACTTATTGCTCCAATGTATCAATACCAGCGAACTTCACAGCGTCGATGGTAGGAAAGGCTGGCGGCGAACGAACGAGATGGCCGGCCGCGTTGATTACGTTGACGACGCAATGGCCAGAGCCGTCGGGGATGTTGGTGCAAGGCGAACCCGCGGACGGCGGAACCGGTCCCTTAGGCAAAGACTCGAAATCGGGTACTATTTCCGTGAATAATTGCTCCCTTAATTGCCAAGGCCTTATTGCAGCACCAAATTCTGCAGTGAGCAAAAAGAACAAGAAAGTACATACAAGTAGTGCTCTTCTTTCTTTGAGGAACCCCATTTGAATACGAGCACCTCTGTTTGCTTTAGAATCTTGTATATTTGCTTTAGGGTTTGGTGTGAAGATGTGTGTGTGTATATATATATAGAGAGAGAGATGCATGGAATTATGGAATGAAGCTGCTAATTGTGTTGAATAGACTTTTGAAGGTGGAGGTTATTATAGTAATTTAAATTCTAAATTATTGGACCTCCTAAATCATAGGAGACTACATGTTTAACAATGCTTAATAATTTCAAATATTTTATAAAATTTAAACCTTCAAAATTACAAGAAGTTGCAAACCAAATTGTCATAACCTATTTTTATCGGGTTTAATTCAATTTTAGGGTCGATATAGAGGTTAATCCGACTCGATCCAACCTAAAATTCTCATATGACCCAAAATTTCCTTTTTCCAACTCTTTTTGGGCCACTAAAGGACCATAATGACCTAAAATTCTCATATCCAGGACGAGAGTGTCTGAGTGTTAGGTAGGGGTGTGCAAATTCGAGTACCAGGGTTTCGGATATCTAGTATCCATTTTTTTCATTTTTAAATTATTAATTTAAAAAAATATATATTAATTTAAATATTTGAAACTTCGAATTACATATTCCAACACTCTGACATAAAATTTAAAAGTTCGAAATACAAAATCTAATAAATCATAATATAAATAATCCATTATATATATATATATAACTAACCGAGTACTCGGGTAATCGGGTACCCGAAAAACTTCAATTTTATGACCTGGGCCCGACTCGGAGGGTAATTTTT